GTAGGGTGTTGGGAGAGAAGAGAGGCAGGTGAATGCGAGGGGAGAAGAAAGTCAGGTGTGGGCGTGAGTGGGAGGAGAGAAGACAGAGGCAGTTGTCAAGGTAACAGGGGCAGGGGAAAAAGAGGCAGCCAGGTCACTGTGGGGGTGAGTGGGGGAGAGAAGAGAGAGGTGGGTTGTGGGGGTGAGTGGGGGAGAGGAGAGAGAGGTGGGTTGTGGGGGTGAGTGGGGGAGAGGAGAGAGAGGTGGGTTGTGGGGGTGAGTGGGGGAGAGGAGAGAGAGACGAGTGGGGAGGTGAGTATCCCCCACACAAAGGCAAGACGGAGGCGGGCAAAGAACGACAATCAGGAACTCTCACCAGGCTTACCTCTGCTATCACCCCAATGCACCCCACGATGACTGCAGCCTTGGCCTGGGCCCCACTCATTCCACCGAGTCCAGAGGTGACAAAGACCTTCCCAGCCAAGTCCTCGATGCCCAGGTACCGGCGCCCGGCGTTCAGCAGGGTGAGCTAAGGAAAGAGGAGGCTGGGGGTGCCCACTTCCCACCCCTGTGGCCAGGACCCACCCGAGCAGCGAGGTGTGGCCCCCTGCCTCTCACCACTGTGCCATGGACAATTCCTTGGGGGCCAATGTAGCAGTAGCTGCCTGCTGTCATCTGACCATACCTGCTCCCCACAGAGAGGGCAAAGGGAACATGAGTGAGCTCAGCACCAGAAGCGCCAACCTACAGCCACCCACTTTATGCTTTTAAAATTAATTTTTAATTATCCAAAAACACATTAATATAGCCTTCTTTATTAAAAAAAAAAAGACAGATAAAGTTACAGTCTCCCAATCTTGGTCCCCACCGACCTCCAGACCTTTTACAAACAGATTTTTTTTTTTCTCTTAAATACTGTAGTATAATTAGTAATATTCAGTTTGAGAAATACTTGGCCCTAGCTACTAAAGCTGAGCATGTGTAAATGCCCTGACGCAGCAATTCCATTTTCCACATGTATGCCCATGTAGGAGAAGAGATAAGTAAATTGTGGTTTATAAACCCAGTGTGTACTATGAACACAGTACACAGCCATGTAGAGAGCAAGTTCCTGATCCATGTGATGTGGGTGGCGAGTGAAGAAGGCCGGCATGAAGGAGTCCGCTATGTGCGATGCCATCTGTATGACCCGCCAGCAGCTCCATGGGTGGGTCTACCTACTGCAGCGGAGTCTCTGGGTGGTGCGAACAGTTCATATGCTTGGCTGCTAACCCAGAGGTTAGAGATTTGAGTCCACCCAGAGACACCTTGGAAGAAAGACCTGGCAATCTACTTTGGAAAAATCAGCCACTGAAGACTCTATGGAGCCCTAGTGGTGCAGTGGTTAAGAGCTCAGCTGCTAACCAAAAGGTTGACAGTTTGAATCCACCGGCCGCTCCCTGGAAACCCTATGTCCTATAGGGTCGTTATGAGTCGGAATCGACTCGACAGCAACGGGTTTTTTTTTTTTTTTTGGTTTTGAAGACCCTATGGAGCACAGTTCTACTCTGACACACGGTCGACTCCTTGGTAACTGTACTTTTTTTCTTTGTTTACCTACTGCAGGGAGTCAAGGGAGGCTGTGGAAGACAAGGGAGGTGGGTGGTAGCTGCATGGATATACATATATGTCACGATTCATGGAGTTGTATACTTAACATCTGTGTATTTTGTGTATGTAGGTTACGCCTCAATAAATGAACCTTAGAGTACTGCTTTCTGAGGGGGTAGTTCTTCTTCTTCCTATTTACATAAATGTCCTCACTCTTGAGGTACTGTTTCCGCCGCTGTTTTGCTCCCTGAACGTAACGTCTGTGGGTTCCTTTCCGCCTCAGAATATACAGATCCTGCTCATTCCTGTCCATGGCTATGCAGGACAGAACATCGAAAGCCACTCCTCCACCAACGACAAACAACGCTGCTGCAGGGAACCACCTCCTGTCTACCTCCCTTCAGGTCAGATGTCAGGAAGAGGGGCTGCTGGGGCACCGGGTGCAAACATTTTAAGTATTAATAGGTGTTGTCAAATTCCAAAGTGACTGTCCCCAGCAGTGCCTGAGCATGCTTATTTCCAACCCTTGATACTGACCACTCTAATTTTTTGACAATCTCATGGGGGAACAGGGACATTTTGCTGTTGCCTTAACTTTATTCTTCCCTAAGGACTATTGAGGTTAGGAGATTCTCGAGGATTTACTGCCTCTTGCTTTTTCTCTCTTATAAATTTCAAATTCATATGCCTTTTCTGTTGGGTTCCTGTCCCCAGCAACTCTCCCAAGTCTCTCTTGAGAGACTGTCTTGACTTCTGGGTCAAGGGTAGACTCTGGATTCTCAGAGACTGTGTCTGAATGCCAGTCCTATCCCACAACTTAGCAAGGCACTGGACTACTCGGAGCCTCTGTTTGCTCCTGTAAAAATTGGGGACTCACATTTACCTTGAAAGTTGTATGACTATTATTACATAACATAAGAGAAGAGTGATAACATAATTACCATCTGCCCAGGCAGACAGGTGAACCCATTAGACCCCACCAGGGAGGAATGGACGGCTGTGGGGGGTGCTCCCCGTGGGGTATGCTCCCCAGTGGGGCCCACACCCACTGGAGAACACTGCCCAGTGGCTAACCCAACCCTTCCCGTGCCAGGGTGAGAAGGTCTTATCTTTATCATTTCACTTAATTCTCACGCAGCTCTTTGAGACAGGAACTAGTCTCACCATCCCCTCTTTACAGATGAGGATACTGAGGCCCCAGTTCCAAGGTTACACAAGGAGTAAGTGGCAGGAATAACTGGGAACTGATTTTCAGTCCTTCTAACTTGGGTCCTTTGTGCTGAAATGATATGCTGCATGCCACTCCCATGATAACTCTTGGAAGTACAATTGTGGGGTCAAAGTTTATACAGTAAAACTTGCAAAAGCCAGAACCTGTGTAAGGCGGAAACCTGTCAGAGAAGGAAAACTCAAATATTTTCCATTAAAATGAGGGACACAAAAGTGGTAAGACAGCACCCTGTCAAAGGCAGAACACCTGCGAGACCCGGAAAAACAAGGCAGTCCTGTTGAGTTCCAGCTCTCACAGGTTTCACTGTACATTTAGAACCTTGACGCCAATTGCCAGATCATACCTCTCCCAGCCACCCCCACCCTTGTACTGACTTAGACCCCAATGACCATCTGCAACTGACTGCTTCCCCATATCCTCTCCAGCATTTTCAATTTTTATCAGCCTGAGAGCGAAAAAGTTTTGTTTTAATTAGTAGTTCTCAGACCACTTATAAATCTAAACCTTACCCTATCTCCACTGCAATTTGTATCTTTTCTTTAGTTGATTGCTACACAGCACGTGCAAACCCTCAGGTTCTGCAGCCAGACTGGGTCTGATTCCTGCAGCTCCACCCCCTTCAAACTCTGTAATCCCTGATCTGTGAAACAGAAGCACCATGTCACAGGTGGGAAGTGGTGGCGTCAGAACTCGAACCACGTCCCTCTGACCCCCTGGCTGCTCTCACTGCTGAACATACAGAAGAGGTTCCCAGGCTTCTTCTCTGCCATCATCATCCTAGTAATAATACTGTTAACAAATAACAACAGCAATAGTATCCATTTATGACCAACCAAAAAAGTAACCGGGCTTCTGAGTCTCAGTTTCTTCCTCCGCAAAATGGGTCAAGGGTACTATTTCAGAGGATTGTACAGAGGAGTAAACAAGATGGGCTCTATAAATCCTAAAACGACAAACGATGGTGGCCATTATCATTATTATGTTATGAAGTTTATCCTAACGCCTGCTTAATTGGCTCCCAATCCTACAGCCTTGATCACATTTAAAATGGTTATTATCCTTGAGTTACAGCCCAGAGATGTATGATTCAGGACATTCACTATAGCATTATTATAATTGCAAAAAACTGGAAACAACCCAAATCAATAGGTGAGCAGGTTAAATAGTGCAGTTGACCACTGCAGGTAAAACAAGAATAAGTTAGACCTGTGTTTTCTGAAATGGAACAATCTGCAAGCTATATTGTTGAAGTGGGAAAGGTTCAGAGGTGTTTATACTGGTCTACTCACATAGGCCCATGTACAGAAACATGTTTGGATGGATGCAGGAAGACTGTTAACTGGGGCTCTAGTCTGGGAGAGGGATTTCCTTTCCACTGTAGCTCCTTTTATAATGTTTGAGACAAAAAGTTTTTCAATTGGTGCGTGTATTAATTTTACAACAAATAAAAATCAACAATATCCTGGGAGGGGGTATGAGGGAACTTTCTGGGGCAATGGTAGTGTCCTGTATCTTGACAGGGGTTCAGATTACACAGGTATGCATTTGTCAAAACCCCATCAAATGGTGCCCTGAAGATTTGTGCATTTCATTATGTGTCCCTTCTACCTCAAAAGAAAAAAAACTCCATAAACTCATTTTGAATTCGAGTCCATGATATTTGCAACTGACTTTTAGATGCATCGAAAATAAGCTGTACCCGTAGACGAATAGAGGGCTGGATGGATGCGTAGACATGTGAGAAAGCAAGTATAAACCAAACCAAACCCAACCCCTTGCAGAGGATTCCGACTCATAACGACCCTGTAGGACAGAGCAGAACTGCCCCCATAGGGTTTCCAAAGCTGTAAATCTTTACAGAAGCAGACTGCCACATCTTTCTCCCGGTGGAGCGTATAGTGGGTTTGAAATGGCGACCTTTCAGTTAGCAGTCAAGTGCTTTAACCACTGTGCCACCAGGGCCCCTAAAGCAAGTATTTAAAAAAAAACAAAAAACTCATTGCCCTTGAGTCAATTCTGATAGGACAGAGCAGAACTGCCCCGTAGAGTTTCCACGGAACAGCTGGTGGATTCAAACTACCAACCTTTTGGATAGCAGACGAATGCTTAACCACTGCACCACCAGGGCTCCGTAAAGCAAGTAGAGTAGTGTGTTAATCACAGAGTCCTGGTGGTGAGTACGCAGGTGTTCACTATAAATTCTTTCAGTTTTCTGTTTGAAATTGTTCATAATGTTGGCAAAAGACCAGGATCCAAAATTGTATGTTCATTTACTTACAAATATACAAAAATTATAGGCATACACATAAAAACTACTAGGGAATATGTAAAAATGAAATTAATTATGCTACAGTGATGCAATTATGAGCATTTTTGAACATTGTATTTAATACTGCTACACTGTTATAATAAAACATGATTAAGAGGAAAACACTATAATATAAACAGAACTAGTGACTTACATTGTGACCCCTAAGGCAAAGAGCTTCTCATACGCTGCCCTGGAGGAGTAGTTGGGAATGACCTGGAAAAGAGGGATGGGAATGGGCAGGGGGTTGTGTGGGGGCACCTGGACCTCCTCTCTGCCCAAGCATTTCCTTGCTGCTGAGCCCAGTTATGGCAGCAGGAGCCCAGGTCAGCCCGCTGCCTCTGGACCCACCATTCCGTTAGTGATGACCAGTCGCGGGGCGTCAGGCTTGCTAGGGAAGAGGCCCAGAGGGTGTCCACTGTACATGACCAAAGTTTGCTCCTCTGTCATCTGTGCCAAGTAGGACATGACTAGCCAGAACTAGAGGAGATCAAAGAGGGAGCCTCTGTGAGTGTATGCCCCACGCCCATGTCTCCCCCAAACTGCTCCAGCCCAGTGAGCTCCTTGCAGGCCCCAGTAGGCCTTCCCATGCCCCACCCCTCCAGCTGCCCAAGGACTTTCCAGCAGCTCCCGGTGCCTCCAGTTACATGGCTCCTGCCCATTCTTGTAATCTTGAGCATCCCAAAATAAGCTCTAATGGTGCAACTTCAGGCAGCAGGGAGGCAGCAAGCCGGGTTGCAAAGCCATGGATTCATAAGCTCTTTCTGGGCCAGAGGAATTGAAGACAGGTAAGGCTGATGGGGGCAAGCGAGGCCATACAGTCACCTTACCTGAGCCCAGTTGTTGAACACCTGCCCATTTCCTCCATAGGTCACGAGCTCCTGGGGAAACTGGAGAAGATACATGTCTTCTGAGATGGAGCCGTGGGAGGGGAGAGGAGGGGAGGGTCCAGTCTGTGACTGGGCTAAGGGCTCAGGTCAGGGTTAGGGTCAGAGCTGGGGCTGGGGTCAGCTTGGAATCTCAGCCTAGGGGTCAGAGTCAGGGGTCAATCTGAGACCAGGATCTGGAGCCAGGGCCAGGGCGGAAGAAGTTCTCACCAGTGGGCAAAGTGGTCACAATCTCTGAACATTTCACCCTCAAGGAACTTGGGGAGCTATCCCCCAAAGATTCCCCTTTCCCCAATACTGGTATTTGCTCTGTAACCAGGCTCTCGAAGGATGCCCGTGACAGGCCCATGAAGGCAGACATCACAGTTCAGCTTGGTGGCACTTGCCCGTGGGGTCACTGAGCACTTGGATCAAGGCTGGCCCAAATCGAGAAGTGTCTAAGTATAAAGTACCCCCAAACTTCAGAGACTTAGTGTGAAAAAGAATGGACAGTGTCTCATTAATAGTTTTTACACTGACTGCATGTTAAAATGATCATATTTTGGAAATACTTGTTATATTACATAAAATATAGTCAGGATTAATTTTATCTGTTTCATTTTACTTGCCGTGTGGCTATTAGAAAATTCTAAATTTCATGTATGTCCATGGACCAGTGTCAAATTCCCAGTTTTGATGTTGTACCCTAACTACGGAACCTGTAACCACTGCAGAAACAGGAAGAAGTGTGCACAGGAGCTCTCTGCCCTATGTTTGCAACTTCCTGTGAATTTATCAATTTTTAAAAATAAAAAGCTAAGAAAAATCACAAGTGTTTCTCATGTTATGTTTCTATCAGACAGTGCTGGGCCGGGCGCTGGGCCTGGGAGCCAGCCACAGGCTTGGTTCAGGGTTGTTACCTGAGCCACCGCCGGGTCCAGGTTGTTCATGATCATATGCATGATGGCTGCAGCCGCCTTGGTCCGGCACGGGTACTGCTCAATGGGGTAGGCCCTGGAATTGGAGTCCACCGCAGGCGTGACAGCTGGAAGGCCCCAGCCTCCTCCCGTCCTCACACTCAGGGCTTACCCTCACCTCACCTTACCATCTGACTACACAGGTGTGGCAGGCAAGAACTTGCTTAGGACCCCACAGTCAGAGGGGTCCGGAGCTGCTAAGGCCAACCCCATTAGGTGCTCAGGTGATTTCTTTGAGCTCTCACACTTCCTGGGCCACCCCTCCCACCCTCTTCATTGTCAGGAGCCAACCGTGAGAAAGCTGATTTCCAAGCATAGCTCAGGTCCGCTTTCCCGGAGCCTTTATGTCTGGATGGAGTTTACTCATTTGTTCTTTCACTCACTCAACAAACACTTCTTGGGCACCAATTCCACAGCGGGTGCCAGGCGTGGAGCACAGACATGAATGAGGGACACGGCAAATCCTTTATTGGGAGAATAATGTTCTCCAGAACTATCCAAAGCCAGTCTGGGCTTCTGGTATATTCAAGAACAATATTCTCAAAATGAGGTCCTGGGACCGCGCACATCATCTGGGAACTGTTGGAAATGCAGATCTCAAGCCCCACCCAGCCCTACAGAATCAGAAATGGCGAGAGGTACCACACAGTGCTAATACAATGGGCAGATATTTGAAGATGCTGACAGAGCTCTCTAAAGTTTTCCTCTTTCTTGCCCAGGACTACAAGGCATTGGTGGTTAGAAATGGATTTTGTATACAATTTGGCCTCATGATTGCATGAGACTGACTGCCCAGGACAGATGAGTCAGGCCAGAGAGATGCATCTGAGTAGGTTTACCCGCATCTTCCAGCCAGGCCTGGGGACCATTGTCAGCTCTCAGCTCCAGACCCCAGCAATTGACAACATAGTGCCTGCCCCGCTCCCCTGTGGGGTATCTACTCAGTACTCCACCTCCATGCTCCTCCTGGGGCCACCGAGCTGGCTTTCCCTCCCACTGCTGACTCTTCAGGATCCCTGGCCACCGCCGAGGGCTCTCTCAGGAGTTTTCCGATGCCTCCTGCAAAGCTGCGCACCCAGAGCTCACCTCATTTCAATGTTGGGGCAGAACCGGTACATGTAGATGTGCCCATACAGACGCAGCTCTTGGGCGAACTCAGGGGCCAGCAGCTCCTGGATGTCCCCGGGAAAGTAGCGAAGAGCATTCCTCAGCGCCAGCTGGGGGAAGAGAGGGATGAGAGAGGCAGGGGCTACAAGCCAAGCATGATGCTCCAAGCATCCTCCTTCCCCATTAGATTTGCCTCTGCTCCACTCAGAACCCAGTTTGCCCCATCCAGAGACCCCTGGTTCTCATCCCAGGCCCATATCTACAATGTCACCTCCTACAGGAAGACTTCTCTGATTGCCCCTCCCCTCCTATCATGAAGCCCCTCCCTCTTTGCTCATCTCCTGTCCCAGGCACCAGGCTGCTTAACACCAGATGAGGACCCAAGAAGGACAACGCTGCGGAATGCAGCCTACAGTGGGGGTGCCCCTGGCCTGCAAGCACAAGGGGAGAGACAGCAGAAGTGCCACAAGACTATATGGCACCTCTGCAAATGCAGAGAAGCTTTTGAGAAGGCGGAGAAGGATGCCCTAAAGGATCTACTGCACCCAGAGGCCAGCCAGCATGTGGACTAGGACACAGCCCAGGATTGAGGGACAAGGACATCACTCACCAAGGGCGCTGGCATCATTCAACAGAGGGAGGTGAGCAAGTGAGCAGGGCAGCTCAGAAGGAGGCACTGAGTGTGATGTGGAAATTGGAAGAGATTTTGGAGACGTCCTGGTGGCACAGTGGTTAAGTGCTTGGCTGCTAACCGAAAAGTCGGTGGTTCGAACCCACCAGCCACTCCGCTGGAGAAAGATGTGTCAGTCTGCTTCCATAAAGATTTACAGCCTTGGAAATTCTATGCGGCAGTTCTACTCTGTCCTACAGGGTTGCTATGAGTTGGAATTGACTCGACAGCAATGGATCTGGTTTTGTTCTTTTTATTTCTCTCATTTAATCTTCACACAACAGCCCCATGGAAGCAAAGTACGTGATTCTTTCTCTCTTGGAAGAAAACTGATCAGAAATATGTGTTTTTCCCTAAGAACAGTGGCCAGGAATGTGTCTCAGCAGGGTCCTCACACTTGCAGGCATGGGCATTCCCTGGAGGGCTCGGTGACACGTGGAGGGCTGGTCCAACCTGTCCCAGGAGGCCTGGAAGGCAAAAACATGCCCTTCTCCCAAGCTCCCAGGTGATGCCGATGCTACTGCCCGGAGGACCACCCCCGCCCCCCGCGACTTTGAGAACTGCTGCACGCGGAGACCAGTAAGAAGGAACAACTCATAGCAATGTGCAGCAACCCACCAGCATTAAAACAGCACAACAGAAGCCAAGGGGAAGTTCAAGAGCAGGCGGTGGCTAAGGAGAGGCAGCAGGTGCCCTGACTGGGGGATCACACCCCAGGGTGGCCAGGGAACACGTACACGCATGTGCGCTGCGTTCACGCTGGTTTCTCTGAATGTGCTGTATCTCCACGCAAAGGGCATCCAATGCTGTACAGCTGCTACTCAGAGCTTATAGCAAGACTGAACACTAAAGAAAAAAGTTTTGATTATGAGCCACAGTCAGCAATACTTGTGGCAGCACAGGACCCCAGAACACACATACAACTGTGCTCCACAAGTATGAATGTACAAGACTCAACCTTTCTACCTGGGCTCTAATACGGTCTCTCCTAGTCTAGCTTCTTCTCTTCCACTGTCTGATAAATACTGATTGCAACCCCTAACCTGATTTCACAACACGCTAAGAGAGGGCAGCTGCAGTCTGAAAACTAGGTACTCACCGTTCCTAAGGGCAAGGACTCTTCCATTACTGCTGCCAAATTTGACATTTCACTAATGGACTAGATAAGGAAGGCCTGGCTCATCACTCAGATGTGTCAAATGCTTTTGCAACATTGATCAGATAATTATATAACTCAAAAAACACAACAAGTTAGTGTGAAAATTAACAATTATAAAATTGTGTCAGTTGATAGAAATGACTCAACCATTCTTAAAGGTGAAGCGTATTCAAGGCTATAAGTAGCTCAATTTGATCTGAAACCAAGACTGAGCCTGTGCCAGAAACAGAGAGAAGATTCTTGCCATTTTCCTGAACCCCGAAGCTCTGTTTGCTGGCTTGGATTCAATGCTCCAGATCTCTGATTGGCATAGTTTTCATTACTAAGATGAGAAAGTGGTGCTCAGAGAGGTTGTGTTACTTGCCTGAGGTCTCACAGCAGGCCTGCAAGGCAGGCCCAGCGCCTCCTTGTACCCTGGCAACCTCAGGAGAGGAGCAGGTAACCCTGCGACCCTCCAGGAGCCCTTCCTGTGGAGGAGGATACCCAGGCAGAAGCTCAGTCTGTGTGGACAGTTGGTGGTGTGATGAGACCACACTTCCTGACGATCACGGGGCAGTGGCCAGGCTGGGTCTACATCCTAGTTCTGCCACCTGGGCAGGTCACAGCCCAGCCTCGGTTTCCTCATCCCTCTGCACCGCTTACTCAGCATCGTACTTGGAAGTGTTAATAAGACATGCCCGCTGCTCAACACATAGTGGACAGTTGTTAAAAGCCCGGCCCCCTCCCCATCCATTATTTGAAAGGCCCCAAGCCAGAGCTGGGGGAGTATTTCTTGGTCCCTCCTGCTTCCCAGACCGTCTCTCCAAATAGTCACCAAGTCCTATCACAAGCACCTCAGCTCCCATGTCTCACCAGAGGGTCTGCTATGAAGCATACAAAATGTCAGAAATGGGTTCGTTGGTGAAATTGTGGCCTGCTAATCATGTGATGGAAACCCTGGTGGTGTAGTGGTTGAGAGCTACGGCTGCTGACCAAAAGGTCAGCGGTTCAAATCCACCAAGCGCTCCTTGGAAACCCTAGGGGGCAGTTCTACTCTGTCTTTTAGGGTCACTATGAGTCAGAATCGACTCGACAGCAACAAGTTTGGTGTTTTCTTTCTTTTTTTTTTAAATCATATAATGCATCCTGGGGGTGGGCTCTTATTGGCGGAATCAGATGTATTCAAGGCAGGCTATTCTAGTCACCTGTCCCCCTGTTAACAATAGGCATGAGAATCTAACAAGCTCAGTGGCCTGTGCCCTTAGGGCTGGCACCCGAAGACTGATCCGTCAAAGGTCCTATGTTCAGCCACTGGGGTGGAGGATTCTGGGGCCCTGGCAGTTTGGACAGCTCCCAAAGATGTCCCTGTCCTGATCCTCATAATCTGTGCAGGTGTGCTTATATTAAGGATCTTGAGATGGGGAAGATTATCTTGAATCATCACAGGTAAAGAGAGAGGTAGAAGAGTCAGAGAAGGAGACGTGATGACAAAAGCAGAGTGTCAGAGTGATGTGATGTAGACTGGAAGATGCTACGCAGCTGGCTTTGAAGATGGAGGAAGGGGCCACAAGCCAAGGAATGCAGGTAGCCCCTAGAAGAAGCTGGGAGAGGCAAGGGAACAGATTCTCCCCTAGAGCCTCCAAGAAAGAATCCAGTCCTGCCCACACCCTGATTTGAGCCCAGTGAGACTCGTTTCAGATTTCTGACCTCCAGAACTGTAAGATAATAAATTTGTGTTGTCTGCAGCCACTACGTTTGTGGTAATTTGCTACAGCAGCAATAGGAAGCTAATACAGAAACAGAATTCTGCCTATTACCTTTGCCATGAGCAAACTTTTCCTGCAAGATGGCTAGGTCATCTAAAAGGATACCCGCTGCAAGTTTATTTAGCTCACAGAACAGCTTGTAAGAACAGTTTTGTGTCTGCTTGCAAATAAGTGTGTGTGTGTGCGTGCACATGTGTGTGCATGCATGAGTGTCAGATGCTGTTCATTATTTGGCTCACATAGGTATGTGCATGCACGTGTGTGTACACATGCATGTGCGTGAATGGCAGAATTTGGCCTATGACTCACTTTCCTTCTAACCTGGCAGTGAGCTTCTGGGACAGTAGCTCACTTTTAAATCTCATTCACCTCGAAGTTTTTGATTGTTACTATTTCTACCAAAAAAAAAGTCAAGATGAAACTGGTTTAGGTTTGTGTGAATCACTCCCGTCCCTGTACTCCCTGCCCCAGCCTGCCCTTGGGCTCTCACAGGTTCTGGCCTGAACGCCAGTTAGGAGCCCAGGCACTGAAGGCAGCCTTCTTAGTTTCGATGGGGGCTCAGGTCCTTACTAGTTAGTGATGTCTCCAGCACATACATGCTTCACCACTCTGAGCTTCAGTCTCCTCATCTATAAAATGAGCATAATAACAGCCCCCATCTCATAGGGTTGTCATGAGAACTAAATGAACTGACATGCTTAGAACAGTGTCTGGAACACCATATAGGCTGTGTGAGTGCCAGCTACTATCACACTGTCACTTCCCACACATGGGCCTCCATGTGTGAATTCTGTCCTTCCTGATGCCCTACCTTCTGGGGGTGCCTCTGCCCACCCTGCCTCCTCTGGAATCTCTGTAGGAGTCTACACATTCTAGGGAGTCTTGTTAAGCAACTACTCAATAACCTTCACGGGCTCCCCTTTCTCATCTGATGAAGCCCATACTGTTTGTGGCACTCGGGGCCCTCTATAATCAGGTGGGCCTGGCTCTCCAAGCTCCACACCTAACTCTGCACTCACCGGGCTCCTCCACCTCGAAGGTGTTTTGCATCGGCCTGTCTCTGCATCTTGGCTCTCTGCTTCCCTGTGATAGTCAGTGTTATGGGTCAACTTGGCTAGGCTATGATTCTCAGTGGTTTGGCAGTCACTGGACTGGTGCTCTTCCATAATGTAATATAATGTGACCACCTACCATTATGTGATCTGATGAGATCATCCAATAAGCTGAAAGGGGAGTTTCCTTGGGGGTGTGGCCTGCCTCTCTCTTGTCCCTGCATTCTTCTCATCACCTGAACGCCAGTTCTTGCCAGTTCTTGGGACGTTAGCCTGCAGAAGTCTCCGGCCTGCTGCTTAACCTGCAGATTTTGGGTTCGCCAGCCCCCTCAACCCCGTGAGCCATCAGAGGTCTCTAGCCTGTTGCCTAACCCACAGATTTGGGACTTGCCAGCCCCCATAACTGTAGGAGTCATTTCCTCACAATTGCATGAGCCATTTCCTTTGAAGTAAATATCTCTCTATATATTTTTATATACAATTCACTGGTTGTGCTCCTCTAGAGAACCCAGAGTAAGACACTCCCCTTCTCTCCACATGACCTTCCTTCTCTGATTTCCCAGTCCAAGGACCTTGCTCATGTTTACAAACCACCTCCTCTAAGGAGCCTCCCCAGATTTCTCCTGCACGTGGGGTAATATTTGGGAGAAAAATCACTAAAAGAAATTACTTACAGGATGGAGGACAAGGGGGAAATCCAGCAACATTTCTAATAGAGGTACTGCTTATGTTAAATGACTAAAATTTTCTTCTGCACTCAGAGTTGTACTGTGTTCATGGTGGAAATACATTGACTAAAATGCAACAGACAGACCATACTCCATATTTAAACAAAGAAAGAAGAGCACAAAATTAAGCACATTTTAGTGCAGCCAAATAATGAAATACTATGTAACTCTAAAAAGATTGAGGCACCTCTAAATGCACCGATGAGGAACAATCTCAAAAAACCTACATGTATAGAATGCATCCACGTTTCTTTAAAAAAAAAGATGCTCACAAATGGCCAACAGACACATGAAAAGATACTCAACGTCATTAACCATCAGAGACATGCAAATCAAAACCACAATGAGATCTTATTTCACTCCCACTAGGACGGCAAAGATCTAAAAAAAAGGAAAATAACAAATATTGGAGGGGATGTGGGGAAATTGGAACCCTCATTCATTGGCAGTGGGAATGCAAAATGGTACAGCCATTGTGGAAAACAGTCTGGCGGTTCCTGAAAAAACTAGAGGTAGAGCTGCCATACCTGTTGCCATCGAGTTGATTCCGACTCATAGCAACTCTGTAGGACAGAATAGAACTGCCCCATAGGGATTTCCAAGGAGCGCCTGGTGGATTCGAACTGCCAACCTTTTGGTTAGCAGCCATTGCTCTTAACCACTTTGCCACCAGGGCTCCAGAGCTGCCATATGACCCAGCAATTCCACTTCTAGGTATATACCCTAGGGAGCTAATAGAAGTGACATGAACAGACGTATGCACACCTATGTTCACTGCAGCACTATTCACAATAGCAAAAAGAAGGAAACAACCTAAATGCCCATCCTAAATGGATAAGTAAAATCTGATACACACATACAATGAAATACTACTCAGCAATAAAAAGAAATGAGTTCCCCAAACATCTTGGAACATGGATGAACCTGGAGGACATTACGTTGAGCGAAATAAGTCAATCACAAAAAAAACACAAATATTACATGCTGTCACTTTTATGACATGACATGAGCAAGTAAATATACAGAAATTAATGTTCAATAGTGGTTACCAGAGATGGGGGCAGAGGGAGATTCACTCTCTAGATAGTAAATACTTGTTATTTTTGGTGATGAGAAAGTAACGCCGAATGAGGGTGAAGTGCACACAGCTTGACAAAGGTAAACAATGTCACTAAAAAGTACACAAGAAAAAAGGACCTGTTGGTAATTGCTATGGCATACATAATTTTGAAACAGCAGCAAAAGCAACTAAAAAATATATGTCCAGGTATATATGTATATATGTAGACATATGAGTGTATCCCCCCACACACACACCACTGTTGGGTCATCCCAACTCATAGCGACCCCATAGGGTTTCCAAGGCTGTAAATCTCTACAGAAGCAGTCTGCCACGTCTTTCTGCCTCTGAGTGGCTGGTGGGTTCGAACCGCCAGCCTTCTGGTAAGCAGCCGAGCTCTTTAACCACTGTGTCACCACGACTCTTTTCACTTTCAAATTTTTATGTCAAAAGTCAAAGAAATATATTTAAATAAGGAATAAAAATCAAGCCAAAGGAAAGCAAGGCAGCCATCACTGGGTCTGGGGACAGGCTGCTGCTGGCTGACCCTGGCGCCCTGAGGGAAGACTGAGCCGCTTCAGCAGCTCAAGCTCCCCATACGCACAAAGGCGGGTAGCGCGCAGGGCAGGAGACCCTGGCCGGGACTTCCTGTCCTTCCAGCAAATGGCTGCATCCACAAGCAAAGCACTCATTCCTGGGCATCCCTTCCCAGCTCCAAACCCTGTTGACATGGACCTTTCTGATGCAGCAACGGGTGTCCCTGAAAGGTCAAGGGGCAGAGTGGGATGGCTCCAGAGCCTATTGACACCCAGCAGGGAGGTTAACCAAGGCAGAGAAAACATTAACTACTCTGACATCGTGTAGTGAGCAGGCCATAAGCAGATAAGCTGAGCACACGGGAGGAGGAACGCCCCTCCTCCGCAGCCACCCTCACCACCTGCCACCCCTCTACCACTGACCCCTTGCCCATCTCCCACTCTCCCCCCATGCCCTCTGCAGGGGCCCTCAAAGAAAAATCACGGGGGGCAGCTGTGGGAGGAGCAGAATCAGCGCACTCTGCGGGGGTGGGAGTCCTCGTCTATTTTTTGTGCTTGTTTGTATTTCCAACCTTTTCTCCAATGTTCCTGAAATTCTTTAGTACTTTTTAGTAAAGAAATCTCATTTGGAGGCCTCCAACCCCCTGGGATGTAATTGTTTTCTCCCAAGTTTACAAATAAGTCGAGTGAGGTTCCCTCCCAGGTGGTATATGGCCTGCCTGCGGGGTTAAGGGGCTCAGGAGCACATGGGTGTCTGTCTGTTCATCTGCAAGGGGGCAGGTAGGTGATGTGAGGGGTACAGGGCTCGTGCGCTCACACCGCCAGCTTTCACCAGCACCACCATCCGCAAGTACCGTTCTACCCACACAGCAGCAAACTCATGTGAAGGGTTCAGGGGAAGCATTCATAAACTGGAGTCCCTGGGCGGTGCACATGGTTAAGAACTCAGCTGCTAACCAAAATATTGGAGATTCGCGTCCACCTGGAGTCACCTCAGAAGAAAGACCTGGCTATCTTCTTCCAAAAAACCAGTCACTGAAAACCCCATGGAGCACAGTTCTACTCTGACGCATTTGGAGGCACCATGAGTCTGAGTTGACAGGACACTTGACGGCAACTGTTATTTTGTTTTTTTGGTTTTTTTAATTCATACACCAAAACAAGAACTGCCCTATGATAGACCAGGACACCAAAGTCACGTGTGTATTTAAGACAAAGCCCAAACGCTGAGGTTGGAGGTATACACTTGCTCAGCTGTGCATCAGGGCGCTTTACACGCCCCCTGCCCCTCCACCTGGGAGGCAGCCGCAGCTCCACCCCTTACTGGTACGGTGACCTTGAGCCTCAGGGGCTCATCTGTAAATGGGGGCTGCAATCCCACCCCCATGGTGGCTGTTGAGGTGATAATGAGAGACACCAGCAGTGACAAGAGCCTGGCACACACCAGTGTCTCTCCCCAGAAGTAGGGGGCACTCACCATGGACCACCCAGAGGCACCCAGGGACAAAGGCCCCAGGAGGAATGGGGCGGATGAGTCAGGTGTCAACTTCCTACCTGCTCCTCTGCAGGGCTGCAGCCGGGAGTCCTGACTGGGGCGTGGGGCACCCCAGCCCAGCGTCCCCGGTTCTCTGGGAGGGGCCGCAGGGGCAGGCCGGAGCATAGTGCCTGGAGGCTGGACATGTCTGGCTGAGATGGAGCAGAGGCTGGTACTGGGGAGAGGCCAGGGAGAGCCAGCAGCCAGGGCCTAGCTGGGCGGGGAACTCAGACCCAAGGCCACCTCCCCCACCCCTCATTGGGCCAGGGGCCTGAAGAAGGAGCCATTCAAAGGTCACAGAGTCCCTGGCCCCCAGGCTGGCCGCAACAGTGTTGACTTGGGGGAAGGGCCATGCTCTAAGCAGTGGACAGGGCCGTGCACTGGGGGACGGCAGGGCTGGTGCTGAGGAGGCTGGGCTTTATGGAGCTCCTTTGACCTTTACGTGGGGTACTAGTCTCCAGAGTTTGTTTTCTAGGCTATGACTTTGGGGAGGTGGCAGGTTCTGATGTTGGGGGTTGCTCTGGCAGTCTTACGGGGGAGGTACCCCAGGAGGCAGTGTCGGGGTTCAAGGATTCACGTCTTGATTACCGGGAACCAAGTGACATTGAACTGGTAGGGAGTGGTATGCTCCTGGGGGGTGGTACACATGTGGGGGAGGGCATAGAGTGCTGGGGCCTGTGCAGAAAGCAGGCAGCACCCTTCGGAGCCCCTCGTTCTGGGGGCCAGGGACTCTGTGACCTTTGAATGGCTCCTTCTACGGGGAGGAGCACTGAGGGGGAGGCAGGCAGAAGCCCCCCCTGCGACAGGTGTGTCTTCCTCTGGCACCCATGGCCCTCATCTCCAATCCTGTTAACAGCTCTGTGAGAAAGTACTCCTTATCAGCCCTGTGCTACAGACAGGAAACAGGTCCAGGTCTCACTCACCCAGCCTGGAAGTGGCCCATTCAACCAAGCGATTCTCATCGTCTTCCAGTCAATCCCAACTCATAGCAACCGAGTAGAACTGCCCCATAGGGTTTCCAAGGTTGTAAATCTTTACGGAAGCAGACTGCCATATCTTTCTCCTGAACCAAATGATAGGATTACCCTAATAGCTCACACCCCAACTCTCCCCTCCCTGCCCGAAGAGGGGCCTCTGCCTCCAACAGAGGCAACAAATCCGGGAGTGAGTCTAGCTTGGCTCTTGAGCAGCTGCAGCTTGGGCTTGTCCCAATTCATAAATGTGGTGGCAATTAACTGCTCAGGCTGCCAAGGGCAGAAATAGATTATGCGAGCACCCAGTCCAGGGACTTGCTGAGTCAGTCCCGTGGGGGTTGTCTGAGCCATCTAGTGATGCTATAACAGAAATACCACAAGTGGATGGCTTTAACAAACAGGAATTTATTCTCTCACAGTCTAGGAGGCTAGAAGTCCGAATTCAGGGTGCTAGCTCCAGGGGAAGACTTTCTTTCTCTGTCCGCTCTGGGGGAAGGTCCTTGTCCTCAATCTGCTCTGGTCAAGGAGCTTCTCAGCGCAGGGACCCTGGTTCCAAAGAATGCACTATTCTCTTGGCTCTTGTTTCTTGGTGGTATGAGGTGTCCCTGACTATCTGCTCACTTCTCTCTTTTATACCTCAAAAGAGATTGACTTAAGACACAAACTAATCTTATAGATTGAGTCCTGCCTCATTAACATAACTGCCTCTAATCCAGCCTCATTAACATCATAGAGGTAGGATTTACAACACACAAGAAAATCACATCAGGTGACAAAATGGTGGACAATCGCACAATACTGAGAATCATGGCCTAGCCAAGTTGACACATATTTTGGGGGGACACAATTCAATCCATGACAGGTCAATGTCCCATTTTATGGATGAGAAAACTGAGGCCGAGAGAGGTGATGGGACATGCCAGAGGTGATTTAGAAATAATATTGGAGTTATTATTCCCTGTCCTTGAACATAGAGAATGTGACCCAGCTGGAGCTGGGCTCACAAGGACTCACAAGGACACAGCAACTGGGCCCTGAGGTATAAAGACAATAGCTAAGATAATCTTGGAAAATCTGTTTTAGGGAAACTTTCACATAAGGCCGATCAAACACAACACAAAAGACTTTCCACTCTTACCTTTTTCTATTAGTATTTAGTGAATAGAAATTTGTTGGACCAATGAAGACCCTCCTGACTCTCCTTACTGAAACCTGTACGAATGATTGTTAAGAAAGACAATTCAAAATGTAGGATCACAGTTTCTAGCCAATCTGAAAAGGCTAAGCTTTCCATGGTTTTGCCCATTTGTAATGTTAATATATACTGATGGCTCTGTAACTGTTCTTTGGACTCGGGCAGACATGGCTGTGGAAGCATGCTTGTCCATTTCCCCATTCTTGCCTATTCTGTGATATTCTTTGGACTTGGACAGACATGGCTCTAGCAGCACGCTTGTCCGTTTTCCCACTTCTGTCTGTTCTGTGATATTTCCCTGGACTCGGGCAAACATGGCTCTGACAGCACGGTTGTCCATTTCCCATTTCTGCCCTTTTGAATATATGCTGAATAAAACTTTCTTTTTGCTTTACTGAACTTTACGATGTTTTCCGCCTATAACAGAGGTGACGCACTGGTCATGGGGGGAGCTGGGATCTGAACCCCCAAACCCAGAGGTCTGGCTCCAGCCACCCTTTCAGCCATGTCTGCTCTTCTGCTGGCCCAGCAGGGCACCATCATCAAGGCCTGCAGCAGCTCTGTCCCCACCATGAGGGACTCAGTTGTGCCCTCTGGTATTCACCCACCTTCCAGCAGGACTGACTGCGCCCCTTCCTATGCCAGGCCTTGTTCTAGGCCCTGGGCACCAAGTGGACAAGACAGAGACATCTGGGTATTATCTCGAAATAAATAATTTTAAAAAATTGAATAAGTTGTTTAAAAGAATGAAGGTCTCATAGAGGTTAAATATGGCAGAGGGCTGAGTTCAAACCCTGGCTATCTCACTCATTAGTTGTGTGACTTTGGGTAACTTACTTAACCAATTTGTGCCTCGATTTCCTTATCTGTAAAATGAAGGCAGTAAGAGTGCCTATCTCACGGCATGAGTCTGAGGATTAAACAAGACAATGCATATAGAAGGCTGAGAAAGCGCCTGGCACAAAATTAGCACTGTATGTTGCTGTGTGCCATCAAATCGATTCCTACTCATAGTGACCCTACAGGGTTTCCTAGGCTGTCATCTTTATAGGAGCAGATCGCCAGGTCTTTTCTCACTGGGAGTGGCTGGTGGATTTGAACCACTGACCTTTTGGTTAGCAGCCGAGCACTTAACCACTGTGCCACCAGGGCTCCTTTTACATTACGTAAGATATGGTTATTGTTTTAATTTTTGCCTTTATCGAAAAAGCAAGGAATAGAGCAAAGTACTCTGATATCAGGGAACAAAAAGAAAATGGGTATATATATACTGTGCTATACAGGTAGTCCTCGACTTAGCAGGCTGGTCTACAAAGAAGTCGGTGTTGAGAGTCGTACAGGATAGAAAGGTGGGCAACGTATGACAATTGAACTGTGCACGCGCACGACAGCCATTAGGACTCTGACTTAATTGTTATGACACTGACGCTGACTTCATTGTAAACCAGGCCTGTGGCATGATCTTATTCAGCATTTTGTACCATAAGAAGCATGCCTTGTTAATTTGAAATAAGGTATTCGACTTACATCAGAACCGACTTACTACAGAGTCTTTGGAACGGAGCCTTGTCGTTGTAAGTCGGGGACTACCTGTAAGGGAGATATGTGCAGGGGCTCTCTGATGGAGACACAAGAATGGGGTGGGAGGAATAGGCTGACTGGGGGGTGGACTTTTCACTATAAACCTCTTCGGTGCTGTTTAAATTCTCATCCATGGGCATGTGCCAACCGGACAAACAAAATGAGTAAAACGTAAAAACTAGTAAGAGAGGCAGGCAAGCAGGGCAGGCCCTCAGCCTGCACCCTCGCTGCACCTCAGCCCTCGGGCTCCTGATGCCTCGTGTTGCCTGTTGCTGTCCAGCCATGAGGCGCCTGCCTTGGTTTCCCCTCCCGCCACTCCAGTGGCTGCTCCTGTCCTGGCCTAGCCTCTCCTCCCAGCATGAGCTAGCAGCTGGCTCCATACAGCATAGCCCACCCAGGACTCCCATCTCCAATGTGTCAGCAACCTTCCTGAGCAAGCAGCATCACTGTCCCTGGTCCCAACTTCTCCGCCCTCTTCTCCAGCCACTCTGCCCTCTGGCCCCTGGACACCTCCTCAGAACCCTGTTCCCCGGCCCCTCTACCTTTAAAATGCAGCCAGGACCCAGCGTGTGGTGGAGGCACCCTGGCCCATGCCCCATCCCCTCTCTAGCCACTATACTAGCTGCTCACGGCCACCTCCTCCCTGCTGTCCTCCATCCATCTTCAACACTGTACCAGAAGGGTCTCGCACAGCACCCATCTGCTTCCAGCTCATCCTGGCCTCCAGTTCTTAGAACCAACCCCAGCCATGGCCCATGCAGTCCACATGATCTGAACCTCCCTGCCTACCTCTCTGAGTTCTCGCCCACTCTACAGTCTCCTTTCTGCTCCTGGAATAGCTTTGTTCCCACCTGGGACGATGTGGTGAAATGAGTTCCTTTATGTGGTCTTTTGCCATCGTTTTTTTGAAAAACAGCTTGAGAGATTTTTCCCCAAAGCCCTGAAGAGTTACCTTTGCCCTAGTTTTCTACCCTAGAGGGTGTGTTACTTTTGTCCAGGTTGATTGACATTTCCTGGGTAAGCTGTAAA